TTGGAAGATGATCGTAGTAGTTTTTCCGTTGAAAAAGTTCGTCGATGACCGGCTGGTTACGTTTCCGTCACCCGCTATGTGGGTTAGAAATAGCAACTTCCGGTCCTAAATCTAGTAGCACGGCTTCCCCAAATTTCGACTTGACCACTTTAGCTGCTTGGATTGCAAATGGTGTCCCGACTGGTAGGTCCTTTAATTTTCTGATTAGGTCTTGCGGTCTACAATCGAAGACCGCATGCATTAATTTTTGATAAATCCATCTATAAAAAAATTGAGTCGTCTAAACTATTTTGATAGCAAACACGGAACAAACAGTTGCACTTAGAGACATTAAAAAAGAAAAAATTAAACTAAAATAGCACTACTTTTTTTAAAATTTTCGCTATCTCGTCTCTCTCGAAGCCACTATTGTACTGCGGCCGTTGTTCCAGCTTGCAGCGTTGTGCGTTAAGGTGAAACAATGATGACTATTGCATGCGCTCGCTAAATATACATACGTGGTTGAGATAACACACGCGTGCATGACGATAATTGTATCGTAAATATGCATATTATATGCATCATATTTCTCAGTACCATTTTTATCGAGAAAACAACATTCATTGCGGTTGCAGTATTTTTTATATAATTTCTTAGTAATACATGAATGTATCGTTTGTCGGCGGAAATTCCAATTACAAGGTTGCACATGAGAGTAGAAATTTAGAAATATAGTAAATTCGTGTATGATATTGTATATTGCTGCCTAATTTTTTTTCAGTCAAGATTTTGATTGGGGGGTAAACGAATTTATATTTGCTATCTGAGATTTTTGACATCATTCTCTATCAGGTGTTGGTTCATGAAATTGGACATGCTCTCGGCATAGCACATAGTGCTTCTCCGAATGCTATTATGTTTGCCTTCTATCAGCATGAGATTCGTGTGGTCTAGATGTTGATGATATAAATGCAGTACAATATCTATATGGAAGAAAAAACAAATATGATTCAATCCCAACGTCTACCACCGCATCAGCAATACCAAAACCAACAACAACTATAAGATCTACAACTCGTAAGCAGCCGATCCTCAAAAATTTGTGTGATATATTCCAGATTTATGTTTTTAGCTATTGCTCCAGAGTTTTCAAATTACCGATTATATATTGCACATGATATGTTTATATGGAAACTAGACTTAAACGAAATGATTATCCCATCTCAGCCTGAACTTCTTGTCGATTATGTTCCTACAGAATTACGTCAATACACTTTACAACATATTTTCCAATCAACAAACGGTGACTTGATTACCATTGTGTCTCCAAACAACTATTTCTCAGCATCATTCCCTACCATTAAATTTCTTGATAATTTTTCAATTGATATACCCGATAGGGCTCGAATCAATGCTATTTTTCAATCAAACGCAGGACGGTCCTATACCTTTTATAATAATATGTCATATATAGAATTTTCTAACGATTTTACTGATGTGTTGAACAGAGGACGGATAAGAGACATATTTCCTGGGTTACCTGAAGTTTAGGGAAAAAATTAAAAAACAACCAGAACTGAACCGTGAAATACATAATTTGATTCTTGTCTGTCATGAACCAAATCAGTTGTCGAACAATGATTTGAGTCGATTAGTATCAACATCTAAAGTACTCCCTGATATGTAGTTTTATTGAAAATACCTCTGGTTTGCGAAATAATATTGTCGGAATTTCTTGTTGCAAGTTGTTCAAGCGCGGGTATTCAAAACATGGCACACACACACACACCAATCAACCTTATTGTTATATATACTATATGTTTCAATAAAATATCCATTATACTATTTTCATTTTGAACGGTATCATCCTGTATAATAATAACAGTACATCGTATACAGGTTATGAGACATTCTGACCGACCGACCGACCGACCAGAGGAGCCCACCACGCTATTTAGGTCACGCCTTGCTATATACGATTTAACGATATACCGTCGGTCCATCGATCCGCTATTTTTCGATGCACCCCTGTATACACGTTGCCCCCCGTAATCCACGCCAACACCAGACAGGTGCGACATCGGCGCCATCTATGCGCGAGATGCCCAACCCATCAATGGCAGCTGTCCAATGACGCATAGATTCCGTTAGGTTTGTACAGCGCCAAACAAATCGGCGCCATCTATGCGCGAGATGCCCAACCCATCAATGACAGGTGTCCAATGACGTATGACAGATGACGTTAACGCCATCTATGCGTGAGATGCCCAATGACGCATGACAGGTGTCCAATGACACACAGATTCCGTTTGGTTTGACAGCGCCATCTAGCGGCGGAATCCCCAACTCATGAATACAGATTCCGTCCAACAACCTGTCAATGGCGCGCGACGCCAGCGCCTCTGGTGGCGGATTTTGGAAGTTTTGAGAC